CACACACACACACACACACGCACACACACAAAAACTCAAACATCTAATTAACTCTAAAGTTTGGCAGTTCTTATCGTAGTGAGGACAAACACCAGTGCTCTGGCTATAAGTAAACCACATACAACTAAAAACACGCAGAAATTAACTGGGCTTAGCATGAGAAGAGTTGTGATTCTTCGAATTTTTGTATTAAAAATATAAAAATATCTTGTCTGTCCCGATGAATGGGGTTCAGGACCCATAAACTGCAGCTTAGTTACTTCTAGCCCTGTTGGCTTCTGACCTAGCAGGAAGCAGCCGGGAACAGCACTGACTCCAGCCAGCCAATTAGAGAGCAGGGAGCACGAAGCACACTGAGGCTAACGAGCTCCCTCCCTATGACCCTCCTCACCTCTTCAGGACCCCACGATGGGAAATATGAGGAGCCGGGAGCCACTTTAACTAGACATTAACCCCACTTCCCCACTCCAACCGCTACTCTAAAACCCTGCTGTGTGACCACAAGGTCCACAAACACATGCTGCCTCTCTCCAGAGGCCCACCACATGGAGTATTTCTGCAGAACTAATTCTGAAAAGCAACACACAGAAAAAACAATGAGCAAGTAAACACATATTTCTTGCAAGGAGATGGAGCTGTGTCACTAGCCCTACAGTTTACGCTGGGCTGGTTCTAAGTGGAGGGATAATGAAGCCTCTTTCCATGTAGTCAGAATAGAAAACGGGTTCCAAATGAATTGGCAGGATTTGTGAGGCAGTGAGATAATTCTGAGGCACTGCAATGAAACAGGGCTGCATTAAACACTAATGCTGCTTGGTATTATGTGTAATTGTTACTTATTAAAACATAATCAATAGAGAGTTAGAAATCACAAGATAACAATACACCTGGAGGGTTAATCTCTGCAGGTAGTGCCGGATACTCAAGATTGAGTTTCTGGTGCATCAGTCACATCCAGAACTAATGAAATAACAAGAGAGGGAGCCAGTCGTGATCATCTATGTCCAACATCCCCACCCCCTTTTCTCTCCAGGCAGAATTGGTCCTGTCATTTGGACCCTCCAAACACGGACCATATGCGAGTTCAGCCCTGGCAATCAGACTGCATTGTGGAACAGGCAGCTGAGTTCATCAGGAAAAAATTAGCCCGCCGCTCTACAGGCCTCGCTCCCATTGGCCAGTCACGAGGCCTGCTCCGTTTGAGGGCACCCCAGACATTCCTGCGGATAATCTTTTCCATTCCTCTGCTCAGCTTGGTGAGGACAGACCAAATCACAGCACAAGGCTTGCATTGTGAAGGCCTTTTTCAAAAAGCTCTGTTTTCAATGCTGTCTCTCTTTTACACTCGCTCACCTCATGCACCACATTTCCAAAATAGAAAAAAAAATATCCCATCATGACTTCTTGTTCTCATTAAAAAGCAACAGAAAAAAAAGTGAAAAGAGGCCCTAAATGTTTTGCCTTTTTTCTAACATTATCCTGTGGAAAAGTGAGGTCTTGAATACTACATTTCTCACGGTCCCTTTCCAGTAAAAGTTTGTTTTTGAAAAGCCCAAACAATGTAAAACCACTGAAACCGGAGCCGAGCCACATCAGTGTGCTGCCCGGAGTTCAGCAGATCACTGCTGAATACAGCTCCCCCGGGCGAGGCTCGCAAGCCTTCCCAGAAACCTGCTGCTTGGTCACCCCTACACGCCTCACGCCCCCCACAGCAACTTGTCATTGTGGCTATAGTTGGGCAGCTGGAACATCATGATTGGAGGACAATCACACAATCTAGGGGCACTGGTGAATTTATAGAAACATATTCCATAATTAGACCCACAGATTATTACAGAGTCTATAAACTTAGACTCCAGAGCGGCTAGCCACCCCTCTGCTGCTATGACTTAACAGTTAGGTAACTTTCTCTAGAGGTATCCAGTGCTCTTGGCTGCTTAACACACCACCGATTTACTTTAACAACTCATGCGAGAATAGCAACAAGAAAAGAAACTTCACTCCCCTAACTCCTCCTCTCTTCTCTATTTGCCCCTGAGTCTGACACAGACAAAATAATCTAATGTTACTTGTAACCTGGTGTCCTACCAGTCTTAAAATAGCCACAACACAAAGACGTAAAACCTTTAACATATTTCAGTGAGACTACACAACTTATCCAGATGGTCCCAATTGTTCGGAAAACACATCCACCCTCATTATTAAACTCTGACAGTAAAATATGTTGCAATCAATCAAGACAACTCTGCAAAATACACAAAGATGGGGGCGAGGTTGGTAGAATAACTGTGCACCTCATCGTGCTGAAACTTGTCCATATGAAAGTATTTGCCTGTGAAAGAGGGGGTAGTGGGTTCTCATTTTCTCCCCCCTTCACAGAGCAGGAAGAGAAAAGAAGACAGTTAAGATTTACTATTGATTTTGAAAAAAATATAAAAACCAATAATATTTTAAATAAATACACAAACTATGGTTAAAAAACAAAACAAGACGCAGACTCCCTCCGTGAACACTTGGCCAGTGAATTTTTGGATATAAAATACCATCTCTTCAAGATTCTACTTTAATAGTTAGCAGTGTAAAATTTTGCAAGAATTCACCTATAATTTATTCAATACTGCCAACACTGTGCAGTCACAGTGACCTTGACCTTTAACCACCAAATTCAAACCCGTTTACCTTTTAGCACATGGTGTACGTTTATGCCAGGTGTAATGAAATTCTCTCCATGGCGTTCGTGGTTTGCACAAGAGTGTGACAGACATGAGGTGACAGTGACCTTGACTGCTTATGAGGAAAATCTAAGCATTCCCTCAAGAGTTAAAGTGACTGTTTGTTCTAAATTGCATGGCATCATTTAAGAAATACAATAATATGAGAATAGCATGCAGATGGACAACAAAACCCACAAAGCTTACGTCACAATTTGCACAAGCATTGAGGTATAAATCTTGTATACAACATGAACAATATTATTCCATTCAAAATTTCCCGTCTTTTGAGCCCTTTCAGTGTTTCAAGGATAACAATGTGTCTCATTCTCAAGGGAAAACGTTTACTGCAGTAACAACTACAACAAGACAAAGAAATGAATAAAATTAGTGTAATCTTATTATTAAATTGGAGTGCATCTTTTTTTCTTTTGGATCACTGTCAGATTTAATAAGACGATTTAAAATGTGGAAAGTCCTAAAGGCAATTTTGATGCAGACTTGAAAGAAACATGCATGGATACTATCTTTGGTTATCACGCACAGATTGTACAACAAGACTGATCAGATTTTGTAGTTAAGCAAAACTTATGATTCAAAGCCTTGAACTTTTTGTTTCGAATTGTGTTGGTAATCCTTAAAAAGGAAAAAAAAACCCACAAATTTACTGATTATAGAACTATTTGAGTTTTTGGACATGAGGTGTTTTCCCTAGCTTTGAAAACGTATCAACAGTTCTCGAATGTTTAATAAGATTTACTCGTTATTTTTTAAATTCAATATACCACCTCAATAAATGAATTCCTCAGATGCATCTGAGAGCACTTAATAAGAAAAAAAGGGGGGGGGATCAAACAAAACAGGAAAGAATTATGATTAATTTGCAGTTCAGTGCAAAATGAAACAAAATAATCAAAACTCTGAGCTAATTTGTTTCCAAAAGGAAACGGATTTCTTTCAGAAAATGTTTGTATTCTCCAACAACAGAAGGCTAAAAAAATAAAGGTTTTTGCTTAGGAAAATTGTTTCAGAACTAATAAAAAAATTTTAGATTTTGATTTTAGAACACTTCTACTTTGTGCAGAAGAATCAAACAGATGTTCTCAGAGGTTGTTTGTTTTTTTATAGTGTATGTTGAAGTGACTTTGTCCTAGCACACAAGTCATGCTCTCATCACAAGGCAGGCAGCTCAGCTGGTAACAGCACTGATAATGCTGAATGAGGGAGCCTCAGGGATGGAATGATAAATGTATCAGCATTAACCACATGTTCTGCACAGTTTGGACCCCTATTCATTAGCCACATACCAGACAGTTCAGTTCAGAATACCAACTGATGTCAGCCTCTGCTTGTCTGAGAGGGCCGACTGAGATGGTGGGAGGAAGGGGGCCATTCTCAGAGCACCTCTGTTAACTTGTCCATCATTGGGGCTCCACATGCAAAGACACCATTAATCATAAAAACCAGACGGAACACTGCCTCCTGAAAGGGTCCCCGAGCCACACCTCAAACCAGAGGTTGTGAGGCGTATACATGTATGTGCATCAGGTTTGGAGAGGACTTCTTACCTGTTAGATTGCACAGTGTATTCCCTCATATTTTTCCCAAGATCAAACAAAAGAACAAAGAAACATAGTATCAACAAGAAGTTTAACAAGTTGGTGTTACCTGAGGATAGACGGCGGTCATGGAGGGGGCACACACCACTAAAACAGGAACAAGCGTCACCTGAGCGACTTCGCTGCATCGGAGGAGCTAGAGAGCACTGGGGCTTCAAGAACCCTGTAATGAAAGAAATACAGAGAAATTAAACACAAAAGACAGGAGGAATATGGAGAAGATGATAAAGCAGATTAAACTTTGACATTACAGTGATTGGGCCACCATCAGAACCAGCATACTGTTCAAAATGTATAGCTTTGTCACCTCTTGGCCAGGACTCCCTTGAAAAAGAGGTTTTTAATCTCAATGGGACTTTTCCTGGTTAAATAAAGGTTACTAATAATAAAATTTGTAATCAGGTGTACATCACCCTAAACACCTCTCTTGTGGCACTGAGCCAGCTCACTGCCCATGAGTTTTGTATGTCTGTATCCAGCCTTGAAGGCTCCACAGAGTGGACAGAACCTGCAGAGCGCTGGCTAGGGCTGGTTTGTGGAAAGGCAAAAGGCTTTTGGGCACAGCACTAAGGTTAGCAGCTCTGTGTGGTCAAAATGCCAGAGTAAGTTGGGGTGCCTGAAGGGGATGGAGGAGGCCGTCATACTGTCTGTCTCAGGGGTCGCAGTGGTCAATTTCAATAGGGAAGCCATTATCTGGCACAATAAGGCAACTGAGGAGGCTGTATGCCCTCCAGGCAAGTGCTCACAAGTCACTGACATCATCCAGCAAAGAAAAGCTCAACAAACAAATCTAGATTGTTCAAAACAGCAATGTTTGGAGAAATCTGTCCTGAATTATAGAACCCTAATACTATCCCAAAGTCCTCAATTTGATGAACTTAAAACAAAATAGAGAAGGATACAGGAGGTTCATGATGGAGCTTAAAGAACTACAAATCTATTAATATCAAATTACAAAAATGTCCCAGACTGAGTAGCACTAACCTTTATGATTGATGATGATACCATTTTTTATTATTTCTTATAAATGGACTGAAAGTGGAATATGAGTGGTATTTTGCTTCACCTACAACGCAGCCAAAAGGAAAACCTGTGTGTGCAGAGAAGCAGTCGCTCCATCTTTATTAACAGGGTAGCTCAAGCAGATCTTATTGGCATTAGAGGACCTCTGCAAATCCAAACTTTATTCACTCCTTAGGAGGACTTTTGGATTTTCTGCAAACATCAAGAGCAGCAAGCGGAAGAGCCCTCCCCATCGCTGTTGTCTGAGCCCAATAAAGCTCCTTTATTACCACCATGAAAAACATGTCACTCCAGATGAGCTCAGAGAATGACATTTAAAACAGGCAAAGAGATATTGAATTAGTTCCCCATGATAAGCTGTCTGAGATGCTGATATTTATTTTTCCTGCTTTTAAGGGTGTACCATGTGGAAGTGCATGTGCAATCATATGGACATGTGAGCAGGTGGGGCTTTCTTATTCGACACATTCATTAGTATTACAGATGATTCACGGACTGGCAAGATAATTCAAGTCTGGATCAGTCAGAGCAAAGAGACAGACTGAGGTCATCTTGAATATCACAAATTAAATAAAACAGGCAAAGAGGAACACATGAAACTAAAATAAAGCCTGTTTATTCTCGTGTCACGCATATCACTTATTTCACTGTTTAATGAGCATCATATCATTGTCATTAGATGTTGGAAAATGTCATCTTAAAATAACAGCAAAGAGTCCCGAGCCCCGCTTTATGGGAACCATGAAGATTACAGGCATCTTGGATGAGGATCAATCAAATGTTTGCGATTCAGAAAACAATACCCTAACAGACTCTGTGTGTGTGTGTGTGTGTGTGTGTGTGTGTGTGTGTGTGTGTGTGTGTGTGTGTGTGTGTGTGAGAGAGAGAGAGAGTAAGTTCTGATTTGTAAGTGCGCTGTCAATTTAATGGGATTAGTCCAAACCATAATGCAGTTAAATCTTTTACTCTTAGCTTGGAAGCCAAGTATGAGTTAAGATCATTTCAATATGATATACCAGATTATAGATTTGTGCAAGCCATCTCATCACCACCCTAACACAGTGACTCAAATCACTTTTATGGCGTTATTAATTACAGATAAGAATATTCTATTGTAGACTATGAAATAAATTAACATGACTTTTCTTTTCTTTCCAAGCTGAATAGAAGGACATCAAAATGAATCAACCACACCATTTTTTAACCAAACATACACACAAGCAACATGGCCCTACACTTCATCCTGCAGCATCTGGACTCCCCAGGAACCTACGCCAGGATCCTGTTTGTGGACTTCAGCTCTGCCTTCAACACCATCCTTCCAGACCATCTCCGAGACAAGCTTTCCCAGATGAATGTGCCTGATCCCATCTGCCGGTGGATCACTGACTTCCTGACGGACAGGAAGCAGCATGTGAGGCTGGGAAAGAATGTCTCGGACTCCCGGACCATCAGCACCGGCTCCCCTCAGGGCTGTGTTCTTTCTCCTCTGCTCTTCTCCCTGTACACCAACTGCTGCACCTCCACCCACCAGTCTGTCAAGCTAATCAAGTTTGCAGATGACACCACCGTTATTGGGCTCATCTCGGACGGGGACGAGTCTGCCTACAGGAGGGAGGTTGAACGTCTGGTGTCCTGGTGCAGCCACAACAACCTGGTGCTGAATGCCCAGAAGACAGTGGAGATTATTGTGGACTTCAGGAAGCACACAGCCCCACTCCCCCCCATCATCCTGACTGACACCCCCATCACCTCTGTGGACTCATTCCGCTTCCTGGGTACCACCATCACCCAGGACCTGAAGAGGGAGCCCACCATCACCTCCGTCATCAAGAAAGCCCAGCAGAGGATGTACTTCCTGAGGCAGCTGAAGAAATTCAACCTGCCAACACGGACGATGATGCAATTCTACACTGCAATCATTGAGTCCATCCTCACCTCCTCCATCACCGTGTGGTACGCTGGAGCCACTATCAGGGACAAACAGAGACTGCAGCGTGTTGTGCGCTCTGCTGAGAAGGTGATTGGCTGCAGACTCCCATCTTTGCAGGACCTGTACACCTCCAGGACATTGCGGCGTGCAGCTCGGATCTCAGCTGACCCTTCTCACCCTGGACACAGTCTGTTTGACCTGCTCCCCTCAGGCAGGAGGCTCCGGTCCATCCGCACCAGAACCTCTCGCCATAAGAACAGTTTCTTCCCCTCTGCTGTTGGACACATGAACAATAACCATATGACTGTACCCGCCACTAACACATGACCCTACGCTGTGTCACTGCATCATTCCATGTTTGGCACTGATCACCACCTGCACTCATTTATATATCTTTCAACGTAGCACTCTTCTTATTCTCATGTATATATCTCATGTATATCTCATGCACATATCTTTCCACGTAGCACTTTTAATTCTTATCCCTACTTTTATTTTTTTCCATGTCTATTTAAGTGCTATTTATGACACTATGTTTGCACTGAAGCACCGCAGCAATTTCCTAATGTTGTAAACCTGCTCAACATTTGGCAATAAAACCCTTTCTGATTCTGATTCTGAAGAGTAGTTCTTCAGAAGGAACTGTGTCAGGACTCATGGAGAAGGAGAAGAAGGGTGCAAGAGAGGGGGAGGGAGTGAATCTCGGAACACAATAGTTCTGCCATACTCAACCATATTTTTCCCGTCTTTGCCAAATTAAGTTCTTCAAAAACACGACACACTCCCGGTTGAAGAAAGGGGCTGGAGGCCAAACAGTGACACATGGTATAGTGCTTCGAGTAATGTCACTAAACATTAAGGAATTTCCATATGAGCCCTACCTACCTCCCTACCTCCCTACCTCCCAGTCAAGTTGCACTTTTCCAAAGTCAGGAGTAAACTAAGGAGACAGCAACACCCACCTCCCACAAAAAAAAAAAAAAAAAGCCTTACTCTGAAAGCAATCCACTGGAATAATGTTCCCACGAGACAAAGTAATGTTAAAGCAATCTGAAATTTCACTACAGAATAAGGAAGAGGTAAAGACAAAAGAGAGACAAATTCGTTTGAAGCTGAAAATGATCTCAAAACCTCAATGTGTATTGTAAAAACACCTACCATATATCAAAAAAATGGTTTAAAAAAAAAAAAGAAAAAAAAAGAAGGAAGAAAAACTAAGTTGGTTACGTTGCTGCTGATAAACAACTTGAGTTTAAATCTCAAAAACATAATTAAAAGGAATGAATCATCAAATGTTTAGTTGGCAGCTGTAAAAATACTTCAAGAATGATACATTTGACAGGAATCCGTCTTTTTTTTTTTTCTTTCTGTTGGCTCGATAAATCATTTTGAGTGAAGGGCTTTACATTTTAAACCCTGAAGGACTTGATGAAAGTGTACGACATGTACGTGCAGGTTCCGGACCTGCTGTTGTAAAAGGTAAGGTTGGTACATGTCTCGTCATTAAATCTTCTCCAGCACTGCATCATTATGCCTTAGTTCATATACTCAAGCAGGATCTTGATTACTAAAGTGTTTGATCTTGCACTTCATTTCTAAGCGGCAAGGATCTCATTGGCTTTAATAACTGCATGATCCAATCTTCCAGGGACAAGCTCAAAACCTTCCTTTAACAGCCAATCGGCATTATCCTTTCCAGCCATCATGGGGGATCAGGGCAATGTAAACACGCTGGGAGTTTCCTCATTAAAGACAGCCTGCTAATGAAATCCCATCCAGCATTTACAACCTTGTGCTAATGAAGGCAAGCCTTTGAGATGTTCTGCTAATGAAAGAAGGGCTTTTTATTGATATAAAGCTAATAAAAGAAAGGCTTAATGACAAGGTTCTAATGAAACAAAGGTGTGTAAATGTGGCGTTATAACAAAACCCACTGATAAGGTGAAATCTGCAGCATTTTCATTTAAGCACATTTTTTATTTACTGCAGATAAACAAATGACTAGGTCTCCAGAATTTACAAGACCTCACAAACTGGGGCCTGTTGAAGAAAATGCATTCAAGCATTTATGAGTTTAAGGGTTCCTAGCTGAATTCTCCTGAAGAGTAAGGATTGTTCATGTCCTACAGTATGTTGCCAGGGTGAACAAGCCCAAGGTGAAAGTTCATTGGCCCGCTAATGCATCTCCAAGGTGCAATAAAA